CCGTTGGCCTCTGCTTTTACAGAACTTCTTGACGGCGCTCTTGTATTTCTCCATCTCTTCAACCACCTCTGATGCCAAATCCACCACTGACTGGTAATGTCCGATGGGCAGCAGAAGAACATGGTCAGGAGTGAGACCACCCTTAGCGAGAGCCACGTAACACTGGAAATAGAATACTGACATTAGATCAACATGAAAAAGCAACAGGAGAGAAGTCTATAGTCATATCTTTATGTTTAAAAGCTTTCTAAAGTGACACTGGGCTGCTGAATACATATTTTGTAGACTGACGTGCGTTCCGATGCTTATGACCAAGTGCTTCTCGACTTCTGGACTGGCAAGGCAGAACCAACAGGGTCCAGTGGGCTGTGCTGTTATAAAAGCAGAAATCAAGGTCTGTGTCAAGAGCAGCAAGCAAAAATAAATTCAAATCCTCCCCAAAATCAACTCTAAAAAGAATTGAAATAAGTTCTGCTGAGTGTTTCTAAATGAGGTGGTAAAAATAGTTCAGTTTGATCCATTAGACCACCTCTGAGAAGTGAATGGACTCACGGGGTTTTCTGGGCTGTTTGGGCTGATTGGGTCTGTCCCCGTCCGATTGTCTCTTCCTGCCATGTTGATGTTGCTGGTGATATGGTTTCTTCTGCCCCAGATCAAAAAAGAACTGGGATGCTGGTTCCTCCTGATCAAAAAGATTTTTTTTTTTTTGGAAGAAATTAATACTTTTATTGAGCAAGGACGCATTAAATGAATCAAAGGTGACAGTAAAGAAATTGATCAAAGAATCCTGAATTTTTTTATTTCAGTTTCCACAAAAATATTAAGCAGCACAACTATTTTCAACATTGACAATACGAAATGTTTCTTGAGCACCAAATCATCATATTAGAATGATTTCTGAAGGATCATGTGACACTGAAGACTTGAGTTATGATGCTGAAAATACAGCTTTGCATAACAGGAATAAATTATATTTTAAAATATATTAAAATAGGAATCTGTTATTTTGAATAGAAATATTTCACAATATTACTGTTTTTGATATTGAAGCATAAAAGGATGTGCTAAAAAAATCATATCCATCACCTGGATACTAATTCTATTAAGTAAAGTAAAAACTGTACACACACCTCCGCATCTGCCAAAGAGGGTGTCGGTCTTTCTTTCTTCCCATCTTTCGTAGGTTTCCTGTAGGGATTTTCTGTGACATCCTGAGGTTGTTTGACTAACTCTGTGGGGTCCATGGTTTTCATCGGGACAATGTTGAATGCATACAAGTACTGAGAGAAAAGATTAACTTTACAGTTAAACCATGAATTCAGTCTCCATGCACCACAGGTCTTCATTAAAAATGAAATATGTAGGGATGCACAGATATTACAATTCTGTGCATTAGTTGTTTTTGTGTTAAAATTTTAAACTATTTTGTCTAAAATTAAAATACAAAAAAATAAAATCAATTGTTTAAATGCTGTAAGTGAATTCAGGCATAATAACATTAATATTAGGCAGCATGAAAATGGATGTTTATATATGCTATTTTTTTAATTAATTGAAATAAAGCGATACACCAGAATAAAGAATTTTAAAAAAAGAAATAAAGTGAAATATATATAAACAAACTTAAATGACAAATGTTGCCTTAGTTACTTACTAAAATAAAGTTGTTTTTTTATAAAATAATTGTATATTACTATGGTGAAATTATACTGACTTTAAGTCAGTGTAAGATGATGACAAAAGGCGTTAGAAAATGTAATATAATCATACATCATTATCATATCTAATAATATCAGTCATAAAATTTTTTTACACACACACACAAATTACAAAAACATACAAAGAAACAAAAAAACCTTCTTCTTGGCAGGATTGTTGACTGCTGCCAGGGCAATGAATCTACTGACATGCTGAGCATTCTGTTGAAGGACCACATGATTCCTGTAAATGTATACACATTTTGTAAGACAAAGAGCATTTGAAAAAAGTAAAACATGTCCTGATGCTGTAATAGCACACCTGTAGGGCAGCCTCTCATAATGGACCCCTTCCACTCCTGCAAAATGGTAGCGGGGCTTAAGCTTGTCAGCGAGATCTGCGATGGTCGAAACCCCACAATACTTTGTATCAGTTTCCTGAAAAGGGCAAGAAAGTAAACGATTCTTAAGCACACGATCAGAAAATACCTGAGAAATGTATTAAAGAAGCACAACAAAGCACTGACGGGACTGTTTCCATACTGCCACACGCCTCGAGGCCACTGCGAAGACAGGAGAATGTCCACACCTCGAAATTTGGAGTTGGACAGCAGAGGAGCCACCAGGGCACTGAGGTCTTTACGGGTAAAGCAGTGTGAGGGAGCAGGTTCCTGTTGTGATTCTCTGCCACTGACATAGGCGATCTGAAGCCCCGATGCGCCCGTGAAAATGCCCCTTCGACCTAGGAAAAAACAAGCGTAATCGTCTAACTCAAGTTGACAAACCTGAGCCCAACAATACATACATGCATATTAAGCTGAAAGAAAACAGCAAAGACATAATGTTTTCTAAAGATGACAGGTTATAGATCCATCTTACCGAGACATGTGATGTTGTCTGCCAACTCGCAGCCATCAGAGTTTGGGAAATGCTTCACAGTCTCTTGACTGGCTGCGCCGAGAATATATGTGTGAATTGGTGCTGGGGGTTTAGAAAGAGCACAGTTTAATTCAGTACATTTGTTTGGTTTGATTAAAGGAATACATTTTAAAGATACGGAAACCTTACCCTTTTTTGCACCAGATTTGTATGTTTCCCATTCCGATTCAGCCTCGGGAGAGGTTCCAAAAAAGTCTCCAACACACAGCAGCAACTGAAAAACAAAGCAGTCTAGTTAAACCCACAACTCTCTCTCTCTCTCTCTCTCTCTTATGTTTATCGCTTTAAAATAAGTAAGATACACGTGCAGACTCACATCAAATTGCCCGCTCTTTTTCTGAATAGCGTTCACCCGGTTGAACAAAGCATTTATTCTTCCTTCAACGTCACCACATGCGAGACTGAGAGGGAATGAAACAGTAAAGCAGCGTGAAAACAAAACACATTGGTTAATTACATGTACACCTCCGCCTATGCTGTCATTTCTGACTGTAATTTACTTAGTGAGATGGGTAACGAACCAGCTACCATTCACATGTGACGCTTTTTAACCCAAAATCAAAACTTACACTCGTAAAGGCTTGTCTTCCATGCCGAAAAATATATAAATCTTTCTTAGACTCTTAAAATGTGTCTGAGCATTGGCGTTAAATTGTGTGCGTCGACAAAATAAACCCGGTCGTAATAGGGAGCAAATTATTTCGACCGCTCATTGTGAAACATACATCTGAAGGTGATTTTTTTTTGTGTGTGGGGGGGTGGGGGGGTGGGGGGGGGGGGGGGGGGGGGGGTTGGTTGGTACTATATATTATTACATACATTAGAGAAAATACCATATTTAAAGAATATAATTTGTAAACACGATAATATATATGACAACCCTAAACGCACATCAAGTTTCTCCCCGGAAGAAATAACAGAGTGACACAGTAAAAGCGTATTAAACGCTTCCACTATGCGCACATTATTCGCAATATTTGCTCCAGCGATTATCCCTTTATAGAGTAATTTTATCGGTTAAATTGAACATTTATAATGTATAGACTCAAACAAACTAAAAAAATGTTTAATAACATTAAATTATAATGTAGATTTAAAAAAACATACTACTGCGCAAAACTGGGGCGAGCAGGACACCACGTGACGCAACACAAACCACGAGACCAAAACAGGAACTGATTTACATTTGAAATCCCGAAGTGTACAATGTAATAAAAGAAAATAAACTGCCATATTATTTATATACAACGACAGAGATTTCTGCCGATGAGAACTGCTTTTAAACAAGTGCCAATATATCGCTTTAGTTCAGGAATGCACATTAGCTGACTGTATAAACCTGACAAATTGAACATGTTTAAACAAGCAGATGAATTTATATAGCACTATTCCTTTAGTATATGCAAGCCATCCGTTTGTTTTCAAAAGACGCGATTGTTTATGGGATCTATGCATGCATATCAGCAGACTCGATCGGATTCTGTGCGCTGAATATTTCCATATATAGGCTTTGGCATCGAAGGATGAAAAAGCGTCTCTATCACATCTGAAAAACAGCCGCTGGCCCCAGAACAGGAGACATGACATCCCCCGAGCAGATTATAGAGATCGTGATGGATGACAAAACGTACAATGTGAGTAAAAGCAAACTGATCGAGAAGAGCGATTACTTCCGCGCGCTGTACAGCTCGGGGATGCGCGAGTCCGGGGAGGATTCGGTGCAGCTTCGGGGACTGAGCATCCCGGGGCTCGAGTTGGTGCTGGAGTTCATCAACACCTCCAAAGTTCAGGTGGCCAACGAGACTCTGGAGGACCTGATCGAAACCGCATCCTTTCTGCAAGTCACTTCCATCTTAAAACTGCTCCTCTCGGAAATCAGGCAGGAGAATTGCGTCGAGCTCTACAATCTCTCTGAAGTCTACGGGATGCATGATCTTAGGAATGCTTGTTTGAAATTCATGAGCTGCTATTATCATCTCATGCTGCGCAGGCCGGAGTTTAAGAAGTTGCCAGCTGTTCTGCGGGATCAGATCCGAGATATGCGCATGAAAGGTACGGCCACTTTAGTAGCAATAGGGGATTTCACTGACACCTGTCTGGATCTGGCAAACCAGGACGAGCCGTGGTCCATGTTGAGGTATGATGAGCTAGAGCAACGCTGGAAACCTCTAGCCAACAATCTTCCTCCAGACATGATCAATGTCAGAGGTTACGGATCTGCTGTGCTGGACAACTACTTGTTTATTGTTGGTGGATACAGAATGACGAGTCAGGAGATCTCGGTGGCCCACTGCTACAACCCCTCCAAGAATGAGTGGAACCATGTGGCACCTTTGAACCAGAAGAGGTACAATTCACTCACGATGTGTCCAATTATTTGTGGTTTGTCTAGTGCAAGGGATCAGTAAGTGCTCTTTTGGTTTCCAGATCAAACTTCAAGCTCCTGGCCGTGAGTGGGAAGCTGTATGCGGTTGGAGGTCATTGTCTGGGGACGGTGGAGTGCTACAGTCCCGAGCAGGACTGGACGTGTGTGGCATCTCTGCCTGAACCTCTCGCCGAGTTCTCTGCCTGTGAGTGTCAGGGCATGATCTACGTCATGGGCGGTTATACCTCTAGAGGTGTGTCTTACTGTCTGAGAGATTGGTTCATTCACACTCACACACTCTAACAGGCATTAGACTTCATTTACTTTCTTTTACGTGACTGGTAGTAGTGTGAACTTATTCCAAAGAAAAAAATGATTGTCTTTACTTACTTCACTTGTGATTTTTCTCCCTGTTTTGGCTGACGTCATCAAGCCCTTTTTAAAAATAGATTTTACAAGAAGAAAAAAAGTATAGGCAAACATTTATTGCTCTTTTTAATCAATTTTAACATTTAAATGCCCTTTTACATCATTTGACACTCACTAAGTTTTTAAATTTAATCTTTAAAAACTCTCAAAATCAATATACATTTTTCATACAGTGTATGTTATGATGGCTAAATTCACTTGTAGCATTAAATATGATTGGTGTTCTTAAATGTATTTAGATGAAATATGATAGAATTTTATTACCAGTCGGTTATTTATCGGTTATAACATTAAATTAATTAATGTAATTGGCCATAATTTTAGTATTGGTACAAGATTACTTACTTTAAGTGAGTGTTAGATTATCGCAAAGTTAATCTAAAAGCAAAAATATGAGAAATCAGAATTAATTAACTTATTATTAAATTAATTTGTACTTTTTCATTAAATACATAAATGCCATTTTGCTCATATATACATAACAGTAGGGAAGAAAAGAAGATGGCAGTTTTATGTTTCATGCTGACTTTAAATTTCCATTAAAAAGATCTTAAAATGACCAGAGATTCCATCATCTCAGTTTTTCTCCTAATATCTGACAGATAGGAACACCAGCGTGCTGCGCTACTGCCCCGTATTGGACACGTGGTCCGTGTTCCATTCCTGTTCGGCTCATGTGCGCAAGCAGCAGATGCTCTCAGTGGAGGACACCATCTACCTAGTGGGTGGCTACACGCATGAGCTAGAACCTGCAGAAATGGGACGGCGGAGGCTAAGCCATACGGAGGACATGCTGACGGTACAGTCCTACAACGTGCAGACGGGAGAATTGTTGCAACTTAAGGAGAACACGTCAAAGTCGGGTTTGAACCTCACCTGCACGCTGCACAACGATGGCATCTACATCATGAGCAGAGACGTCAGGCTTCCAACCAGCCTGGAGCACCGCGTCTTCCTCAAATACAACATTTTCTCAGATGCCTGGGAGGCGTTCAGACGTTTCCCTGCTCTGGGACAGAACATGCTGCTTTGCTCACTCTACCTGCCCAACGTCCTCTGAGGTTGCGCTCTGGAGAAGACTGCAGACTGCTGGGACACACGGATTCTATTGTAGCGAGCCCAGACACTTCAGAAAGGACAAGGATTGCCACACCAGTTTACTTGATCAGAATGATCAGACAGCACAAAGAACCTGCAGGAGATATTAAAGCGATGGTTTAGCCAAAAATTTCAATCTGGTCATCATTTCCTCACCCTCATTTTGTTCCAAAAACGAGTGGCTTGAACATTCTTGATCGTTCTAATGTTGTTCCACAGAAGACAAAAAGTTTGGAATGACATGAAATTATGACAGAATATGTATTTATTTTTATTTAGGTAAAATAGTGCTTTAAATTATTACTTCTAAATACAGGTCAACATTTTGACTTTGATGAATAAAATCGTTTAAAAAAAAAGTATTTAATATCTCCATCAGAAGTTCTCTGAAAGTGCCCTTGTATTTAAAAGAAGTTTTATTATATTCAGTAAATAAATCATTTTACTTATCTTGGCAAAAAGCGAGAACACTATAAGAGTTGCACCGAACATTTACAACTTGCACAGAATCTACTAATTTAAATGCATGTACAGGATCTTAATGATATAAAACATGACATATATTACTACTAGTATACAGATGCACAAGTGAAGGCTTCAGATTTATAGAGCCTGGAGATTAAATTAACACTAAACTTGCACCAGCCAATTAAAAAACTTAACATGAAGGGTAATTAAGTCCCCGAATGAAACATTAAAGAGGTAGTTCACCCCAAAATAAAATAAAAATCCCATCATCATTTACTCACCCTTATTTCATTCCAAACCAAAGTCTTAGGTTCTTTTTTTTGGACTATAAAGTGAAATTAATGGGGTCCAGTACTGTTTTGGATCCATTGACTTTCATTATAAGGTTAAATAAAAAATTAATAAATATTCAAACAATCTTATTTTGTGTTTTGCAGAGGAAATGGTGAGTAAATTTTAATTTTTAGGTGAACTGTACCCTTAAGATCCAAAGTGCCAGACAGACTAGTGAATGTTTAAGACTGCCATTGCCTGAATAGTAGTTGATTTTTGACTTAATTACTCTGTTACTAGTCTTAATTATTTTATTCCAAATACTGTATATCTGGAGAAGTGTCTTAAAATGTGCTGCACAAATGAAGCACGAATACATAAGCACCTGACCTAAATCGCTGTGATGTATTTTTGCATTTGGTTGGAGTGAGATGACCTGATGTTAACGTGAAAGAAAAGGAGATTCTTTTGTTTTTGTGTTTGTTTGTTTTTTTAAGAGTGAAGGACTTTATACTTATGCTCCATTTACTTTTGGTTTTGTAGCGGTTTGATTATTTTTCATATGTTGAGCCAAAATGGATGATGGTTTTGTTGAACATTCCAAAGTTGCCTTGAAAATGTAAAGGTTGTAACAAGTTAAAAATAAAATGTTCAGGGAAGCAAATAACAGGCTTTATATTGCTTGTTTCTTTTTGTGTGTCTTTGCATTTGGCAGATGTCATACTGTCACTTGTCCTTCTTAGTGAGGTCACCTTCTGTCGTTCTGTCCTCACAGAGGAAGTCTGTGTGTAATCAGCTGTCCATCAGATCAGCTGTGTCATCATTGCAGCAAATGGGTGAGATGCATCGGATTAATTCATTGCCTTTGAATCTGATCGTTGTCCACTTCTTGTCCTTCATTCATTGTCTTGGCATCTGCACAGTGGATTGTATCCTGTGTCTCATAGCATGTGTATGTCCTAGCATGACTCTGGTCACTGGGTCTAAATGTTGAGCAGATGTCCCAGCAAAGACAAGCCACCTGTAAGAGAGTTAAACCGTGTAGTTAAACTCAGGGATACTAAGATCCAAATCCTCCACTGCACACAGGTCCTATATATATATATATATACCAAATAAAGCATATGAATGATGACATTACATTTTAATAAAACTGCACTTAAATGAAGAGATTTTTACCTGATCTATTAGAAGATTCTAATTTCATTCTTGTTTCACAGGCATACAACTGAAGAGAAGAGACAATTATATAAATTGTTTGTTATAATTCATTATTTATCAATAATAAGTGTACTTTTCACCAATACCTTTAGGGAATTCGTGAATAGAAAAGAGGTTGTCTTTAAACACTGATTAGTAAATCTCACATATAAATATTCAGCTCATATTTCACTCTAAAATCAATATAAGGAAAAAAAATTATTATATATTTATAAAGATATATATATAGATAGATAGATAGTCTAATTAGTATGTAGCATATTTTTAGGACCATCAAGATTATATTATATTATTTTTACCATTACAGCAATAAGAATCGGGGGGACTTAATTTTCTATAAGCATTTCTTTTTTTCCACTTAAAGATTTCTTGACAAGCATCATGATATCTACCCTGTCATTGTAACATGGTCAGTTAGTCTATGCATTACTGGGAGGCAAAATATCAAAATCATCTGTTCTATGTCCTTGGTCCTAGTTGTCCTTATGTCCTTGTTGCAATAGCCACTTGGTGGCGCTACAACTTAATTCATAATACATATTTTCACCACGCGCACACACGCACACTGTTATTCATTACAAATGGACATAATGCAAATGCAGATGAATAGAGTTTTTAAGTATTAAAACAACTAAGATCATAAATCCTAATGAAACCATGAAAAACATATCAAGCACTCAGATAAAGAACAGGCAGCAAAGAGCAGTGATTCTTCTGTATTACAGTGACCTCTTTTCAAATAGCCAGCAGCGTGATTTGTACTGGTTGGGAATTGGGGGTTGAGTGAGGGGAGTGTGTCTTTTACCGATTTTCTCTTGTACACCATGTGGCCAAATGATAATATCTCCAGCAAATCAGAGCTGAAGAAAGAAATGAGGTATTGCATGGCCGTTTAATGTGTCACTGCTATAGTGAGCTGACTCTAGCTGATGGGTCATGGTTCTCAAGCTGAAATAAATGCAGCAGACACAGCTTGTTCTACCTCAATGACTGATTTAACAAGTCTCTTACAACTCTCAATATAATTTCTGTTTTGAATAACACCAATTAATCAGACATTGAACAAATCACTTCATTTAAACACTGAATCACAGTGGTGAAGGTTTTTATTTAATTTTTTTGAAAATACAAGATCGAAAGTAAACCCTTGATACTCTGTCTGAATCTTTCTATAGTAGCACTTGAAAAAATGAATTGGCTGCAATCTTCATCTCTGGCTGACCTCTCCGTGTCAGTGAAACAAACCACACGATCATTGAAAATGTCAACCATGTCACTGTTTGTTCCAAAACACTAGACATCTGCACAGCTTCTTTCGAGATGCAGTTGCCCTACTTTACACACCTGGATACTCACTATTTCTATTCTTTTCTCTATTGCATGGGTTTTCAACCCTTTTCAAGCCAAAGACCACTGAATGGATACAGAGATTTTCAACTACACAAGAAAGTCTATTAACGTTTTGCCACGCATGTGTGCGTGACAATGAGAAGACCAAAGACGAAGGCCAAGCATATTTCAAAGAAGCCTTCATCATTCCGAGCTCATTAATGTTACATGCTGTAAGAAGTCACTTTGAAAAGACAATATGGGGAGAACGAGATGAAGAGAGACACATGGAACAGAGTGAGAGAGAAGTGAAAGTGTGAAAGAGAGGTAGGTGGAGAAAGAAAGGGGAGGTGGAGATAGAGAGAGGAGGGGAGGAGAGGAGAGATAGAGCACGAGAGGGAAAGAGGGGAGGACAGTTCGCCTCTGCAGCGCTGCAAGGACAGCGTGAACATCGCTAGGACACAGACGGACTCAAGCTCTCAACAATCACACATTCTTCACCATGACAACCATGCCAATCACTGCACTGGACTGACAGCTGTCAATCACAGGAGAAGATTATCAGGATCACCTGCCACAGGAGAGATTACAAGCTACAATAGGGGACTTAAGAGGAGTAATTCCAACTTGTGTTTGGTTACAAGTTGTCATCCAGGGGGAAATAGGCCATTTTTGATCCCTCAACTAATTTACGCCTGCATGCGTTCACATGTGCATGCTTTAGGGGGAGCACGTACGTACGAGGTTGTCTTGCTTTGAATCAGGGTCACATTCTTGCTGGCTTTCACCCGTCAGTGCAGTGCCACAATAAGCTTCAGTAGCCTGAGTTAGCGGGAAGCTCTGTTTATTTAGCCTTTCGTCCACGAAAAAACATGAGTGAGGGCAAGAAGGAGTTAGAGATGAGGGACAAAGCCATCATGCACCAGCAGAGGAGACTGAAGCAAGCCACCCAGTTCAGCCACAAGGACTCCGCAGATCTCCTGCCCCTGGATGGGCTGAAGAGGATGGGCACTTCCAAAGACCTGGTGAGTGGCTCTTTTGTTGATCCATAAAATGGTTGTGACAGTTATGAATTTACTTATGTAAATACTGTGCGTGAATATGTGTATAACTACATGCACGCAGCATTATATATATATATGCAAATCAGTAAGCAGTTTCATTTTTTTTTTTGCATCCCGTCACACAATGCTCACATGATGCATTAGTTAGCGCTTCAGGCATGCCAGTGAATGTTTCTGACACATCAGTAGATCCGGTTGCAGCTTCCCCTCCATGCTGGAAGATGAAAGTCACACACTTTCACACACGTCGTAGTTTATATCATGGTGAGGACCTCCCACTGACTTCTATTGTACTTGAATCAAGCTAATTATAATTACTACACTGTTACTCAACCTCTTTGAAAAACCTTTTGATATTTTGACATTAAATTAAGTGATTCATTTGTGAGGAAATTATGAGGTTGGGGACAAACATTTCGTTCTTGCTTAGTGCAACCTATTTTTTATTAGGTGGACCTTTTGGTCACCTGAGAAACATGTACATGTTTATTATAAAATGAAAAGTTATATAATAAGGTATTGTCACACAAGAAAGAGTGCCGACATGAATGTGATTCATATAGACACAAGGCAGCAGGGAATCACAATCGTGCTTATATTCAGAGCAACACAACTGTGAGTATGGTATTGCTTTTATACAGTAGTTCAGTAAGCAAGTTAATATTGAGTTAAACCATACATAATATGGCCACTTTCTGTATTTTTGCTATGCCAACAAAAATATTTCCAAACGAAGCCAACTGTCATGCATATTCGAGCAACACATAGTGGCATTTTGTTTTTTAATTAATCTGTGTTTCAATTTCAAATGGTCTGGTGAATAATTCAATGACTCATTAAATGAAATCAATGTTTTTGAATGGATCAGTTGACTGAAAGAGTCAGTGATTGTATCCGAAATCACAAAACTATAAGTAGTTATTTGATAAAGAATCATTTAAAAAAAAGTATGTATGAGTGTAGTATAAATGAAATCCAGACATACTAGCCATTCACAAGTCCTCTTCCATGGCCACATGGCCACAGTGTTTATAGGGTTCGAACTTTAGAATCTCGCCGGAAGTACGTCATCCGGTACCTTTAGCCTATTGTTTTATGAATACTAAGCATTCGGACAAACTATTTTTACATACTGTTTTTTTTTTTTTTTTTTCGTACTACATACAGTAATAGGGAAGTATGACTATTAGGACACAGGAAATTAATAAAAAACGTTCACTTGTCGCCACCTAATGGTATAAAGATGTAACCTGCATAAAGAGTCACTGACAATGCCCACTTCTAATGGACATACTGATCGAGATTGATGACTGGAACTAATAGTTATAATTAATAATAAATAATGTTATCTGGATACTTATTACTGATTTTTGTACTGTTTTTCTCAACAACAACAAAAAGGAGAAAAAAAGAAAAGTTTTGTCGACGTTACATAAGCAACACAGAAAAATAATATATGGCCTTTATGGGCTTCTGCGCCGCTATGGAGTTGAAATCTCCATAACGGTGCGCAAATTAATCCTCTCATGAATAAGTAAGAGCTGCCTATTTCCACACAAGATTTCTCACAGCTTAAGCTCTCTAGCTTTCCCCCACATATCAACAGTCATCAACATCAGAAGCTTAGAGAGAAATATTGGTGGTTATCTCATATCAAAATAATTAAAATATCTTACCCCTAATCCTAACGGTTACAGAAAACCTTTTTCCATGTTAGTCCCTTTACAAAGTCTCAGTGGCACCACAAGTTCCCCACAATATAAGTTTGTCACTACCTGAAACGCACAACAATAGGCCAACAATAAACCAAGAGGTAAAGTCCTGTTCATGTAGTGATATCTTCTTCCTCTATGCCATTAAATTGTCTATCTACCATAATACCTGTCCCGCTGTCATCTCTAGCCACTACTCTGATTAGATGGCACATACCCAAACTCCCAGTGCGCACTCCAAGAAACCTTCAGAATATGAGCGTGCACAGGCACGCATGCGTGTTTATACAGTGGTGTGAATAAGTTATTACCCCCATGCTAAAGTTGCCTAAAAAGAGGAATAAAAAATCATCTTTTGGAAATTGATCTTAATGCCTTACTTAGAAAAATGAGGAAAAATCCAACCTTTAAGGACACCAATTTTCTTTGTGTATGAATAATGTATCATAAATAAATAAATGTTCTTCCTTAAAATACAGGGTGCATAAGTCAGGCCCCCCCTATGTTAAATTCCCATAGAGTCAGGCAGATTTTTATTTTTAAAGGCCAGTTATTTCATGGATCCAGGATAATGTGCATCCTGATAAAGTTCCCTTGGCCTTTGGAATTAAAATATCCCACATCATCACATTCCCTTCACCATACCTAGAGATTGGCATGGTGTTATTTCAGTTAGCCTAATAGCTGGTTTGATTTGCATTGAAAGATGATCTTATGGAAAGTACCCCATGCCAATCTCTAGGTATGGTGAAGGGAATGTGATGATGTGGGATATTTTAATTCCAAAGGCCAAGGGAACTTTATCAGGATGCATATTATCCTGGATCCATGAAATAACTGGCCTTTAAAAATAAAAATCTGCCTGACTCTATGGGAATTTAACATAGGGGGGGCCTGACTTATGCACCCTGTATTTTAAGGAAGAACATTTATTTATTTATGATACATTATTCATACACAAAGAAAATTGGTGTCCTTAAAGGTTGGATTTTTCCTCATTTTTCTAAGTAAGGCATTAAGATCAATTTCCAAAAGATGATTTTTTATTCCTCTTTTTAGGCAACTTTAGCATGGGGGTAATAACTTATTCACACCACTGTATGTGTGTGCCTATGATTAGAGAGTGCATTTAAATGATCTCCATGCACAGCAGGGAAGAGCTGAAGCTTGTGTGCACAGCTTACGATGTCAGAGCCTCTAAAATGTGGGAGCTAAAGATAACTGGCTGTCAGTGGAGTTTTTTGTCTTAACACATCAATTTAAACGCTCGATGTGTCTCAAAGAATATCATATTCTGTTGTTTTTTTGTGTGTTACTGTTCATGCAGCTGTTTCTAAAAATCACAATCTGGCTTTTGTTATAAAAAAGAAAAGAAAAACAAAAAACAATTCTCTGCCTCTTTCTTGTTTCATGAAGGCTGCCATAAGCAATTATTCAACAGATTTGATTTTGACGCTCACGGTTGGCACAGATGTGTCACGCTTGTCCTGCCGTGGCGAGTCAGGGCAGACAGATACCTACTGACAGTTAGACAGATGGTACTGTCTTGTTGCCCTCTACAGTGGACTGTGTACCTCTTAAAGGGAAAGAGGAAGATTATGTCCTTTGTGTTCATATAGATGAAGTGCAGGGTGTGTAATACAGAGAATTTTGGAGAAGTTGAAGGCCCCAAACAAAGTCCAATTAAATTTATAGTTATAATTTAGTGTATTGCATATGAAAATGTTTCCACAGCATTTCAACAACGTTTACATAACTTCAAAAAAATCGAGGAGGTATATAGGCCTACCTGAAGAAAGCTCACTGTTAGCATTCTCATTTATCTCAATGTTAGTTGCTCGGCTGGCACAGGACCCCTGGAAGTAAATAAAAAATTATATATATACAAAAAAATTATATTAATATTTTATATATTTTATTGCATTTTTAATTTAAAATTTATATTAAATTTTATACTTATAATATAATAAATAAAATATAATTTATATTAAATTTTATAATGTGAATGCATATATACATATATTTATATAACGCTGACTCAAAGCATTTTTAAATTGTTTACATATATATCGCAGGACAATAACATACAACAGTGTATAAAATTGACGATACCAGACAAAGAACTGAAGAAAAACAGGGCTTAAATATATGGGGAGTGTAATCAAATGGAACAGGTTTGGGAACTGATAACAACCAGGGAAACTAACTAGAGAACTAAAGTAGGCAAAACAGGAACACAGAGGAAACAAAACCAAAACTGAACATAATCAGAACACTGTGAGAGAGAGACTGTCAAATATTTTTGAATAATGACTGCTAAACTATATTATTAATACATTTGACTCCTCTGAATGTCACTGTATAGGCTGATTCACACTCGGATGAAGTGTGTATATGCCAAGGCAATGTTTTTTTGAAGTGTTCTCAAGGCACCCTGGTTTGCTGCTCTAATTAACCTACAAGTGTCACGTGCAATTGTTCTTGTTACGTAACCGTAGGTTTGTTTTTCAGCTCTTTGGCCCTTAGGCCCTCTGCAATCCCTTCTTCTCTCTCTCATACTGCCTTGTTCTCTCTTGCCGTGAACTAGAACACAGAGAGCAAATCAGTGAGCATGAAAAGGGCACACTCAGATCAGCATTCATGCACAGGAGTTGTGGATGGAGTGAAAGAGAGAAAAATGCACAGACTCCTTTCTTACAATGCTTCTTAATGCACTGAAGAACTGTGTGATGTTTATGCCGCTATTTATTGAATTAGTCCAAGGCCGAACATTTCTCACCATTCAAAGATGAGGGCAGACATGACTAAAATATGTGTAAAAGAGTTGTAAAAAAGTGTAAAAAAGGGGGGGGGGGGGGGGGGGGTGTGTTGTGGGGGGCGTCTTCCACCCTTAGTTATATATACATTACAATGCATAATGCTGCGATGAATCGCATCTACCCTAAAAGTTGTTTTATATAATATATATATGTGTGTGTGTGTGTGTGTGTGTATATATATATATATATATATATATATACACACACACGAAGATCGAAGACCCCCGCATTATTATTATACATCAGATAAGATTATATATAAGATTATCAGAAAATGCTCTTTATGCTAAAAAAAGTTTTTTTTTAAGAACTGCTCACTTAATGATCCTTTGGGGAACCCAAAATGGATCTTCCATGGCATCGCTGCAAAAGCTTATTCTTGGAACTTTTATTTTTAAGAGTTTACTATTGACACAAAAACAAAATCATG